AGTCTACTTATCATATTCTCCACGGATGATATGTCCATTAATCACCGATTTGGGCATTTTTATTTACGGATGGCATTATCGTAATTTTGTTGGCGTCGAAAGGCCATTTTCTTAGGATTTTGAGGGCTACAGATCACGGATTCGGCCTGAGTCAATTCTTCAACGATGATTAAGTCAATTAAGCACCGATTTGGGTGGATTTATTTCGGGTCAATTTTTGGCAGATTGCAAAGGGGTACCATCACAATTATTGTGCGATTTTTCCGAAATGTCATTTTCTTTCTATTCTGGAGGCTACAGATCACGGAATCAGGCCGAGGCTATTCTCCACCGATAATGAAGTCTATTGATCCTATTCTCTACGGATGATAAGTCCATTACGCACCGATTTGGGCCAATTTATTTTCTGATGGCATCGTAATTTTATGGTCGTCGAAAGACTATTTTCTTTGGATTTTGAAAGCTACAGATCACGAATTCGGCGTGAGACTATTCTTCAACGATGACTAAGTCTATTAAGCACCAATTTGGGCGGATTTATTCCGGGTCAATTTTTGGAAGATTGCAAAAGGGTATCATCACAGATTTTGGGCGATTTTTCCAGAAATGTCATTTTCTTTCGATTCTAGAGGCTATAGATCACGGAATCAAGCCGAGGCTATTCTCCACCGATAATGATGTCTATTGATCCTATTATGCATGGATGATAAGTCTATTAAGCACCGATTTTTGCAAATTTATTTTTGGATGGCATTTTCGTAATTTTGTGGGGTCGAAATGCCATTTTCTTTGGATTTTGAAGGCTAAAGATCACGGATTCGGCCTGAGACTATTCTTCAACGATGATTAAGTACATTAAGCACCGACTTGGGCGGATTTATTCCGGGTCATTTTTTGGCACATTGCAAAGGGGTACCATCACAGATTTTGGGTGATTTTTCCGAAATGTCATTTTCTTTCGATTCTGGAGGCTACATATCACGTAATCAGGCCGAGGCTATTCTCCACCGATAATGAAGTCTATTGATCCTATTCTCCACAGATGATAAGTCCATTAAGCACCGATTTGTGCCAATTTATTTTCGGATGCCATTTTCTTAATTTTGTGGGCGTCGAAAAGCCATTTTCTTTGGATTTTGAAGGCTACATATCACAAATTCGGCCTGAGATTATTCTTCTACGCTGATTAAGTCCATTAAGCACCGATTTGGGCGGATTTATTCCGGCTCAATTTTTGGCAGATTGCAAAGGGGTACCATCACAGATTTTGGACGATTTTTTCGAAATGTTATTTTCTTTCGATTCTCGAGGCTACAGATCACGGAATCAGGCCGAGGCTATTCTCCATCGATAATGAAGTCTATTGGTCCTATTCTCCACTGATGATAAGTCCATTAAGCACCGATTTGGGCCAATTTATTTTTGGATTGCATTTTCGTACTTTTGTGGGCATCGAAAGACCATTTTCTTTGGATTTTGTAGGCTACAGATCATGGATTCGGCCTGAGACTATTCTTCAACGATGATTAAGTCCATTAAGCACCAATTTTGGCGGATTTATTCCGAGTCAAGTTTTGGCAGATTGCAAAGGGGTACTACCATCACAGATTTTGGGCGATTTTTCGAAATGTCATTTTCTTTCGATTCTGTAGGCTACAGATCACGAAATCACGCCGAGGATATTCTCCACCGATAATGAAGTCTATTGATCCTATTCTCCACGGATGATAAGTCCATTAAGCACCGATTTGGGCCAATTTATTTTCAGCTGACATTTTCGTAATTTTGTATGCGTCGAAAGACCATTTTCTTTGGATTAATTTTGAAGGCTACAGATCACGGATTCGGCCTGAGAATATTCTTCAACGATGATTAAGTCCATTAAGCACCGATTTGGGAAAATTTATTCCAGATCAATTTTTGGCAGATTAAAAGGATACTAACTTCACAGATTTTTAACATGTTACTATGTTAGTTACCTCCACATATATATGCATGTGTGTCAACTCATACCATCAACATACTTGACCAAAAGACATTAGGTTTGTTTTTCAATCCTAGCACAACATATTCAATATACAAACCCAATGATCAACTTTTATTGGTAAGTTTATTACTTTACATAAGTAATCAATATGTCCCAAAGTACACACGTCATGACTTGATTTGTGGACATCATAACTAACAAGTTTTAGGTGCTTGATTAGGCTCGACTTTTAAATCCTTTTAATTATTGTATGTTCTACCAGCATGGGCTGGGGTGTAATTTTCTATGTAATAAAGTAAAAAAATTAAAATTAATAAGAGGATTGTTAAAGAATCACACCATTTGACTTTGGTGTTGTTTTAAGACTTCACAGACACTATCTATCAACGAATATATGATATCTATTTTCCACAAATTAATTTTTTTCTTTCAAAAATATCATATATGGATCCAAACAAAAGATAGTTACATCCTGGATAACAGGCACGCCCTGAAATCAAAGGAACGATTTACAGACGGGTACAAAGAGAGGGCCTTTCTAGCTACCGAATGAGCTACCATATTGTTCTCCCAACCTACAAACCGCACACTAAACCCCGGCTGGGCACGAAAATACGAACAAATCTCCTCCAGGACCGCCCCCAAGTGACTGTCACTCGTATCAGCTTGATTAATTTTGTCAATAATGACTTTCGCATCCCCCTCCAGCCTAACTTCAGACAAGCCGTACTCTAGACACCAGATGATAGCCTCTAGAAGCACAAGCAACTCTACTACCAGTGGTTCATCAATTTGCGCAAACTGCACACCTTTTGCCCGAAGGAGCGTCCACCCTGGATCGAAAAGAACCATCCCACCAGCCGAGTGGGAGCCCCTCCTAGTGGCCCCATCCCACATACAAATCAGTCGAGAATCAACCACTTGGGTTTCTGGTTGAACCTTCGGGCAGGCTATTCTCGGCGGCCGGTCAACTGGAAAATCCACCCATTCCTCGTACTGCTGATGAAACTGGCGCATTAAAGCCGGAATCCCAAACTGTTTGCCTTCAAAGACAACCCAGTTCCGCGATCGTCAGATCCGCCAAAGGATGGAAACCACAGCCATAAACAGCGATAGGTGATGGACAAGGGCGAGCAGCCGCTTGAGAAACAATGGAAACGTGTGCCGAGGCAAACCTTCCCCAAATAGTCCAATCCCGAGTAGTCCCAGAGAGCCCTCGCGACCGGGCAGTAAAGAAACATGTGCTCCATCGTTTCGGGCCCATCCCAGCAAACTGGACAACGGGGCAACACATGGACCTTCTTTTCAATGAGAGCCTCAGTGGTCGGCAAAGCCCGATGAAGAATTTGCCAGACAAAGACTTTCAGCTTAGGAGGAATCTTTGCTTCCCACAGCCGGATCCAGCTTTGCCTATCCATCCAACTAACCGAGGCCCGCCACCCACCCCTCCTCCTATCAAGCTCAACTGCCAAATGATAGGCTGTCTTAACCGAGAACACCCCATCAGGAGTATTATGCCAGATCATCTTATCCTCTACATTCCTCCTCGGAAGAGGGATAGCCATAATGGCTTGACAGGTAGACGGATCAAACCATTGACTAAGCTTATCCTCCGCCCAATGCCCTTCCCCTTGCCAAATCACCTCCGCCACCAAGGGATCCCTCCCAACTGTCAGGACCCGAGGATTGTAGCAAGGGAGATCTAGCTGAAGCCTTGGGATCCAGTTAGAGTGGATAAGGGAGACTGAACGGCCATTCCCGATTTGCCATCTTAACCCTGCCTCCAACAACTGGCGTCCAAACAGAATGCTCTGCCAACCCCAAGAAGGGCGTGAACGAGCAGTAGCCGACATAAAAGTTCCTTGAGGAAAGTACTTCCCTTTATACACATGAGCAAGGAGGGATTGCGGTTCGTTGAGAATACGCCAGCCAATCTTAGCCAAGAGAGCCTGGTTAAAATGCTCAAACCGGCGAAAACCCATACCCCCATCATGCTTACTCCTGCAAAGATTTCGCCAGGACACCCACCGAATCCTAGGGTGGCCTTCCTCAGCCCCCCACCGGAATCGGGCCACGTGCCTATCCAAAAGACGACAAAGAGAGAGGGGCAGCCGAAAACACGACATAACATGCAGGGGCAAGGCCAAAGCTATTGACTTAATTAAAGTCTCCTTTGCCGCCCTGGACAATGTCTTTTGCTTCCACCCCTGCAGGCGCGCCAGTAATTTCTCTTCTAAATACCGAAAAGTGGCCATTTTGGAGCGGGCAATCAAAGTGGGTAACCCCAGATACTTATCATGGACCCCCTACTGCACCGACCCCTAAAATTGCAGCCAAGAACTCTTGATCAGGTAAGGCCACATTCTTACTAAAACAGACTGCCGACTTTTCCAGATTAACCCGCTGCCCACTCAGCTCTTCATACTCATTCAGCACCACAATCAAATTTTCGCACTCCTGAAGAGAACCTCGCAGGAATAAATACGAATCATCCGCGAAAACCAAATGCGAGATCCTAGGAGCACGCGGCGCCACTTTCACCCCCTCCAACTTCTTTTCCAAGACCGCCTTCCGTAGAAGGGCCGCAAACCCCTCCGTGCATAGCACCAACAAGAGAGGAGACAACGGGTCACCCTGTTTTGTTTTGCTTTTTCGGAACTCTTCACAGTCATAGTCCGTACGGCCTAATGACTACCTAATCATAGTCCATAACTCAATGACACCAAAATGCAAATAATTTTGATCATTTCAAATATGAGCGGTTCTTATTTTGTTCACAGCACTATGAGATCACCTCATGACAAAGTAACAAAGTAAAAATGAAAAAAAAAAAAATTTAATAAGAGGATTGTTAAAGTACTAACATAATATTTTTCTTAACTCACTCCCACATATTCAAGTTGTATCAAATTTTACTCATTTTTGGTTAAAAACCAATTCAAAACACCTCTTTGCTGGGTTGGCTCTATTAACAACAAAGACGCCAAGTAAAGCTTTTGACCACTCACCAACCCAAGCCCACTTAGACTAAATGGGTCTGCTTATGGTAAAGACTGCGAACCAATCTGTCCCAGCAGGAAGTCAAATTGCCCTACTTTACTTTCCCTTTCGCACCTCTCCCATCCGACGGCAGCTTTGACCATATGGCATCGCCGGCGACGGCAGCGGTGGAGAACCTCCCCCAGGTCCTACTTCTGCTCCACCCTGCGGCCTTCACCATCTTCGGAGAAGAGCACTTCACTTCCCCCAAGTTCCGGTTCTTGAAGGCCTACGAATCCAGCCTTCCGCTGGACGAGTTCCTAGCCGCCAACGCTCGATCCGTACGAGCACTCCTGGTCTCTGCCGCTACTGTTGTCGGCGCGGGCATCCTCGACCTCCTGCCGGAGTTGCGAGTCATCGTCACCACCAGTGCTGGGCTCGACCAGCTGGACCTGGCCGAGTGCCGCCGCCGTGGGATCAGGATCGCCAGCGCCGGGGATATATACTCGGCCGACGTCGCCGATTGCGCCGTGGGGTTGTTGATTGATGTGCTCAGGAAGATCTCGGCTAGCAATCGCTACGTCAAGAACGGGTTCTGGGCCACTAAAGGAGACTATCCCCTGGGTTCAAAGGTAAATTGCTTTTCATTTTCTATTTGGGTGTTCTCTTAGCTGCTTTAATAAATTCCACTTGCTAGTTACATTGTTATTAGTGTTTTGGGATTGGAGTCGAGATTAGTTTTCAATGTCTATCTTTGCTTTTGCCTATATATCTAAGCATTCTGAGATAGTCTGTTGGGATCAATGTGATCAAAATCGCGCTATAAACCTTAAAAGCTTACCGTTTTACGCATTTAGATGGCTAAAACGCTCTTATGTAGTTACGTTTTTCACTGACTTAAGTGTAGTCGAATCGCGGTTTGAATCTTAAAAGCTTAGGATTGACACTTTTGCGTGAAACTAGCTTAAGCAAATGGGGAGAATGAGGGCACTTGTCGTTGGTTTAAGCTCCATGTTCTTGACCAAAAGCAGCAGAGATTCCTCTGATGTAATCAGATCAACCCACTGCTGGTTTTCGTATGTACGAACGTATCTCCTCCATCATGCATTCATATTTCATACTATGTTTATTTCAGTTGCGGGGCAAGCGCATTGGAATAGTCGGACTGGGTCGAATAGGGCTCCAGGTTGCCAAAAGACTCCAACAGGGCTTCGGCTGCACCGTTTCATACAACTCCAGGAAGAAGAAGAACCCTGATCAGGTTCCATACCCTTTCTACCAAGACGTGCGGGAGCTGGCGGCGAACAGCGACGCCCTGATCCTCTGCTGCGGATTGACGGAGCAGACGCGGCACGCGGTCGACAAGGAAGTGCTGGCGGCGTTAGGGAAGGCAGGGGTGATCGTCAACGTCGCTCGAGGCGCGGTGGTGGACGAGAAGGAGATGGTGAGGTGCCTGGTGGAAGGAGAGATCGCTGGTGCTGGGCTGGATGTGTTCGAGGACGAGCCTGTTGTACCTAAAGAGCTGATGGAGCTTGATAACGTTGTGTTGAGTCCTCATTCTGCTGTGTTGACCAGGGAATCCATGATGGAGCTAGCCCGGCTTGTGGTGGGGAATCTGGAAGCCTTCTTCTCGAACGAACCACTGCTGTCCGAGTATGAGGATGACTAATTGCAGGAATTGCAGGGGGGTGTTTATTTGGTTTGTGTTGTACCGTTGGAAGTTGTAGCAAATCCAAATGTACCCCCGTCTTATTTTGTTCTCACCGTTATGAAAAAGAATCATTTGACGTTTTATGCATATTTTAGATCTCATCTTAAGTGTTTTATATATCTGTAACAAACGGAAAAGTTGTGACTATAGAAATGTAATTTGCCTTAATTAAAATATTTGATTTACAGTTAAAAAACACATTAAAGTTTGACGCCAAAGTACTTAGGATCGTTTGAAAGTTGTGAATGTTAAATCATTGCATTGTAATGAATTACCATAATATAAATGCATGTATTGATATAATGGATGTATTTTAACAATACATTGTTTGATTGTTGAGATTCTACTTTATGCATTGATTTACATAAAATTACTTTTATGGGGAAATATCATATTTACCCTCAACTTTTAGTATAAGACAAAAAACTATTAGAGATATAAATGGAAAGAAAAAGTTTACACAAATCTAAAAACAACAATCTCAAATTTTAGTTGAGATTGTATAATGCATCATTTTTTGTGATTGTTAGTGTGATATTTTGGCACTTCCAATTTCCAAACATTGTATTGTGCAGAATACATGTATGTTTTTTTGTAAAAAAAAAAAGAATACATGTATGTTTGAAAGTGGCGTACAAGCTGGATCCTGAAAACGACACCGTCGGCAAGGGCAGTGGTAGGAAAGTGAGACCCCAAATATTATTACGGTATTACCCCCAAGCACGGAAAAGGCAAAGCAGCAGCACTTTATCGCTTTCAGGAGCAAGAAAGAGAGCGACTGGAGAAGGAAGGAAGCAGAGCATACGAAGTAAACTAGGAAAGGAAGAAGAAAGAGTTCCTCGTCGTTTCCTTTCCTTCTTGCGATACGAATGTGATCTCTGTTCCAAAAGCATTGCAGCTGGACAGAGCAATCTAAGCTCCCCATATCCTCTCAAGTCTCAAGCACACAACTTTGATCTTCCGCCATAGCAGTCTTACTTCCGCATCTGGCGGGTTCCGTCCCTCCCTTATGGACTCTCTTTGAAATAAGTCGATCCAACTTCAGACTCCCCCATTTTCGCGAGAGATCTGTCCTCACAATCGTCGGCACTCGGTAATTCCTTTCCTCCTCTCTTCCCCCCTCTCCTTCCGATATTTTATTTTCCTGCGTGTGATCCGGTTTCGATTCTAGGTTTCGGGCAAGCAATGCCGCTCAAGAGGGGGTTGTCCGCCAGTCGGAACAACCGAGGCCCCGGTGGTGGATCTCGATTGCCGATTACGTTTGCGTTATTCTTCTTCTTGTTCTTGGTGGCTCTGATGTTCTCCGTTGGTCCTTGGCTCCGCACCGGCGCTCCGATCGGTTTGTATTCTCCCTTCATCTCATTGCTTCTTTTCAATTGGTCTTTGTTTTAGTTGGAAGCTGAAATTTTAGAACGACTTACATGGTTGAATGTACGATAGCCTTACATCAGACCTAGACATTGAAAGGGGAATGCGAGGGCTGAGTAGCTTTTGCCTAGTTCATTAGCAACCGGTGACTTATCCAAGTGGTTAAATGATTGAATGGTCGTGGCAGAGCTTTGACAATGTAGTGATGATTTGGATCTTTGGTTCATACCGTCCACGACCCTTTGCAAATGACATGTTGGTTGGAATCTCATTTTCCAATCACAGATGAGATGGTTTCTATTAGTTGTGTTTGCACTTGGTTAATTTGTGCTCATCTTTCCTATTGTTCATATAAAATTTAATGAGCTGTTTGTTTCTCTAGGTAAACGTCTGGTTCAATCAGATCACAGTTGTGACAGTGCGCCCAGAGTACATAATAATGTCCTGGTGTCGTCTCTAGCTTCCTTGTCATTTTTCTAGCTCATCATCGTTATCTTCCTTTTTGTGCATTGTTGTAGGGTCCACCGATTTTAGATGAATGTACAGATTTTTATTCGGTTGAGCTGGTCTCGTAAATGCATCTCCTGATTGCTAGACAGTATTGATCACTTCTCTATGAGTTGCTGTAGGAATTTATAGTGATGATTTTTACCTGTGCAGATGAAGCCAATCTTCCGAGTGGCTCAATTAACCAGGTAATGCTTTTAGACATCTCTCATTTGTATAAAGCCTGTAATTTTTCAGTTTCATGCTTGTTTAGCTTCGTTATGTTTATCCCGTAAGATAGAGGTTTGTTGATTGATCCAGGATTTGGATTGGAGAGAACGGTTGGCATTGCAACATGTCAGATCGCTTTTCACTAAGGATGTAAGTGTTAACTGTAGTGAGTCTACTTCCCAGGGTAAAAATGTGTCATTTCAACTGTTTTCTGCACAATTGATGTTACCATAATGCATAGTTTTATCCTCTCTGAGTTTACCATAATGTGACTGTTCCTAAGATGCTGGTCGAATTGGGCATGTAGGTCATTGATGTGATCGCAGCTAATACCGCTGATTTGGGGCCTTTTAGTCTTGATGCTTTTAGAAGAAGCAATCTGTCTGCTTCGTGGAAACTTGTTGGAGCTGAGGCTTCAGCTGACCATTTATCCTCTTCCGAGGTTAGTATCACTATTTTGGCCTGTATGTGATTTCATTGCATCAGTACTGTGAGTTGCATTCCATGTAGAGATTACGACACTGAATTTTCCCTCTGTCTGGTTGTCATTATTTCAGTTAAAACCAAAGCAATCAGCTACCATTGTGAAGCAAGAAGTACCTACCAAAAAAGATACAAAGTTGTCTGGTGATGCTTTTTAAAACTGCGTAATCTAATATTTGCTGTTTGTTCCAAGTTTTGTGGCTGACTGGTTTTGCTTTCTTTTCTTGTTCAGATGATCAGGCTCCATTCGTTGAATCGCCTGAAAAATTTGCTCGAAGGGTATTTATACTTGTTCCATAGCTTTTATGTATCAGTTATTATCTACTATTCATGTTGTTACTCAGATTCGAATTTTTTTTAATCGTGCAGCAACTAAGAGAAAAAAGACGCGAGAAACGTGCAGCGGAGTTGATGCGGCAAGGAGATGAAACAACTATAAAATTTGAAAATGCTGCTATTGAACGCTCTAAATCAGTTGACTCTGCTGTTCTAGGAAAATACAACATTTGGAGAAAAGAGATCGAGACCGAGAATGTTGATTCTACTGTACGCTTAATACGAGATCAGATGATAATGGCAAGGGTATATATAAGTATTGCAAAGATGAAAAATAAGCCTGGTTTGCAGCAAGAACTACAAACTCGACTTAAAGAGAGTCAGCGTGTCGTAGGAGATGCAACAGCTGACTCCGAACTACATCAAAGGTATTGCCAAAGTGATGAATGTGATTATGGTTGGGTTTAATCCGGCATCTCTCCCTTTCCAATTTGCCAGTTACTTTGCTTTTGGTATGACCGATGACTAATTTCTTGGTGGGACTAATGCCAAATTGTTTCTTGTAGTGCTCCGGAGAAAATTAAAGCCATGGGGCAAGTTTTGTCCAAATCAAGAGAACAGTTATATGACTGTAAAATCGTCACTGGGAAGCTCAGAGCAATGCTCCAGACAGCTGACGAGCAAGTCAGGAGCTTGAAAAAGCAAAGCACGTTCCTGAGTCAATTGGCTGCTAAGACAGTTCCTAACGGAATTCATTGCTTGTCTATGCGCCTAACAATAGACTACTATCTCCTTCCTCCAGAGAAGAGAAAGTTTCCACACAGTGAGAACCTGGAAAATCCAAGTTTATACCACTATGCTCTCTTCTCTGACAATGTCTTAGCAGCTTCAGTTGTTGTCAACTCAACTATTGTGAATGCAAAGGTGATGTTTTCTTTATCTTGGTATTGCTGAATTTTATTTGCCTTAATTTCAAAAACTTGCTACCTGCATGCTAACGGCTTGGTTGTTCTCAATATTATTGCAGGACCCATCCAAACATGTATTCCACCTGGTTACAGATAAACTAAATTTTGGAGCAATGAATATGTGGTTTTTATTGAACCCCCCTGGAAAGGCCACTATCCACGTCAAGAATGTAGATGAATTCAAGTGGCTTAATTCATCCTACTGCCCGGTTCTCCGTCAGCTGGAGTCTGCTGCAATGAAGGAGTATTACTTCAAGGCAAATCACCCCACATCTCTCTCTTCCGGTGCTTCAAATCTGAAGTATCGGAATCCCAAGTATCTCTCGATGCTCAATCACCTGAGGTTTTATCTTCCAGAGGTTTATCCCAAGTTGAATAAGATACTGTTTCTTGATGATGACATCGTCGTCCAAAAAGATCTGACAGGGCTATGGGCCGTGGATCTGGATGGAAAAGTGAATGGTGCGGTGGAAACATGTGGCGAAAGCTTTCACCGGTTTGACAAGTACCTCAACTTTTCAAATCCTCACATCGCCAGAAACTTTGATCCGAATGCTTGTGGATGGGCATACGGTATGAATATGTTTGATCTTGAAGAGTGGAAAAGGAAGGATATCACTGGCATATATCACAAGTGGCAAAACATGGTGAGTCTTGGTAACGATTTGAAGAAATTCATGGCTGTTGTTGACTCTTATGAATAATAATATTGTCGAGGTTCTGTTTTTCATAGGAGCTTTCTGCTCTCTTTTGTTATGTCATTTCTTTGATAATAATACTAGCTCCTTGGTCTTGTAACAGAATGAGGATAGGGTACTTTGGAAGCTTGGGACGCTGCCACCAGGTTTGATAACATTCTATGGATTGACGCACCCACTTGAGAAGTCATGGCATGTCCTTGGTCTGGGTTATAACCCCAGCGTTGACAAAGGGGAGATCGATCGTGCTGCAGTGGTTCACTATAATGGCAACATGAAGCCATGGCTGGAGTTGGCAATGACGAAATACAGGCCATATTGGACCAAGTACATCAAGTATGATCATCCCTATCTGCGCAAGTGCCGCCTAAGTGAATGAATGAGCCCCAATTGGCAAGGCTAGGTACACAGCAGAAATGCAGTTACTTGATGCAGGCACGAGAAGAAGGAATGTGGCTGAGTTTTCTGTGCTGCACTTCCATCCGAATTCCACTATTGTTCATACATCTTCAATTCCTCTTTCCGTTCATTGCATTCGTTTCCATCATTTCCTACAGCCGTTGGAAGCAGTTACTTGATAATTCCCATCTCTGTCCCATGTTGACCTGTAAAATATCCCAAAACAAGACTGTCTCTCTCTCTCTCTCCCATCTTA